TCGTTTGCGAGTACCGGCAAAGCATCCGGCTGCCCTATGCGAATCCCACTGGCTGGTGGGGTCAGGGGCACAGCGGGATGCTCCTTCCCTCCGCCCGGCTCCCGGGGCCTCTTGCGGAGCTTCCCGCGGCTTCGACCTTAATGAGTTTCCCAGCCGTCAGCTCCGGGTTATCCCTTGCAGAACGAAACGGCGACGCTTTAAAGAAACGGTGATATCTTCAGCGAGTCGCGTGTTGAATCGCCAGTAACGCGGTCCGGGTCGTTCCAGGCTCACCTTGAGTTGCACGAGTTTCCTTATTTGCCTTTTCTCCTAAAACTCCCGCAGCCTGAGGTGATGCTAAAGGCTTGTTAGGTGCCCCTCTTCCAGGCAAACCCCGGGGGTGAGCAAAAACAGGGCAAAACTGGGGGAGAGGAGCCGAGTGGCTTGGCTGAACATGTTATTTTTAGGCTAGCTGATGGGGATATTCTTTGGCCCTTGATTCCCTTTTTCGAGCCCTGAAACTAGGGCTGTGACAAAGTTTCCGTCTCCAGTTGAGCAGGAGGAGCAAGGAGAGAGCGGCAGAGTCTTCCCCTGACCAGCGTGGCTGGTGCCGCTTCCCTCGCTCCCGTTAAAACCTCTTTCTGGGGTCAGCGAACGCCAGAGAGGAGCCCTCTGCCAGGGGGAACCGACTTCAGTGTTCCCCTGAAAACGTCTGTGCGGAGGGGGACGGATAGGGGTAGCTCGGAGGGAGCTTTGGGTCCGCGTTGGAATTCCTCCGTGTTTACGGGGAATCAGAAAAACATAGAAAAAGTGCAAATTAACTCATTTTTGTAGAGCTTTCCAAAGTGGAAAATAAGGTCTATTCCCATGCTGGGTAACGTTTGGTGCTGTTTTGCTTGCCAAATGCTCGGCAGGGTGGAGAGCAGGAGGGGTTCAGCGCCGCTGCTTAGAAAAAGCCTGGCATTGGTGTCCTTGCAGCGCTAGAGGCGCTCTGTGTGCGCACGTGCAATGCAAAAGCAGTCACCATCCTGCAAAGCCTCCAGGAAGACGAGCTGCGTCCAGCACGTTGTGACGAGCGCGCTCGGCCTCGCAGGGAGTTCTGCAGGGGGTGTTTGTCGCACCTGCCGCGATGCTGGGGAGACTCAGGGCTGTGCTGTGCGTGGCGAGGCAGGTCTGGTCCTCGCTGCTGTCCCACAAGGCTCGTTTTCTGGGGACTTTTGCTGAAAAGTTTTGAGACCCACACTGCGTGGTCCAGTTTTCTGGTGGTCAGGAAGAGGAGAGCAGTTGTAGCCTCGATTTGCTCTGAACGTCAGGTGCCTTGCCCCACATCTTAGTGCTTTCTGCCCCAAAATCAGGAGATTTCTTTCCCTTTTGCTTTTCTTCCATATCCTTTGGTAGGTAAGTCGTGTTTCCCCTCGTCGGCTCGTTGCTCTCGAACCCCAACGGTGTTATTTCCCAGCCTCTCGCTCGCTGCTTGCTTCTGCCCCTGCTCCCATCGTCCTGCGACTCCGGGATCTGGGCCTTTAAGAAAAAACAGTGAAATTGGAGATGATAAAACAATTAGCGTGAACAAAACCACCAGCCCTGGGAAATCTTCCTGATGGCTGTAATAGATTATCTATTTGAGATGTGTTTCTTTTAGCAGTGGGAGATAGTGGTGGGAAACCATTTCACCTCCCTGGGTGACTGCAAATGACCGACTGGGTCTGCTAACAGCCTCTTAACCTGCCCCCTTTGAAGAAGTGCCCTCTCTTTTGCCTGCTCTCAAGAGCTCATCGAAAACACGTGGGCACTTCAGAGGTTTCGGACCTTTCGTATCCGGAGAAGGTCTTGCTTTCATCCCTGTGTCCTTCAGAGCTGGCCCTATGTCGCCACACGCGTGTGGCGAGTTAGCCGGGACTGCGGGAAACGCGATGCCGGCTCTGTATCTCAAAATCACGTTACAAAAATCAGCCATCCTCTAAAACGATGGGTTTGCTGTTGCCTCGGGTTGGAAGTTTTCCCTTTGAAAGGCCGGTTCCAAGGGAAAACCCTTTCTTTTTGCTCTGCTGAGCAAAGCCAGCTTCTCGTGTTGGACCAGGAGGTGTTTTGCAAGGTGGTAAGGAGGGAAGCAGAAAGGGCCAGGGATCTGTTTTGCTCGGCCATCTCGCCCCGGAGTTGAGCTGAGGTCTGCAGGAGCTAAATGTCCTCTTCAGAGCTGAGCTCTGGCAGGCGGGGGAAGGCCGGGGATGGGGACCCGCCGGGCGCCGGTGGGTGCGTGGTACTGTGCTCCCAGGGGAACCCCGCTGTGCCGGGGGAGTCTCGCTCTCACGCGTTTTGGTTGGCCTGGCTGCAGATGGAAAGGGGAGCGCGTGCGTCTACGTGCCAGTTTAGTACCCAGACGAAAGCTCTGCTGTCTTATTTGTGCCCGTGTTTGACCATTAGGACAAAGCGTTCAAACAAGGGCTGCAGCGCAGAGCCGTGCCATCTGGAGGAGCAGCTAGACTGGAACGTGCCCAAAGCGCAAGGAATCTTGTATCTATGTTTTTCAGCTGAGAGGGTGAACATTGATTAAAATACCGTCTGGGAACTGGCAATCTTCCTCGCTTGAACCCCTTCTCCCTGCCCCGATACCAAATCAAATCGATATCAAAACATTTAAGTCTCCCTTGCAACAGAAACGCTCTGAAAGTATTCCATTTCTGGTCAGTCAGGCAACCAGTCGTGTCAAAATGAAAAATGGAAGGGTTCCAGTCAGTTCGGCCCGACTTCTTCTCAGGCAGAAACAGGCCTTTTTCTCCCTCTAAAATAAATTTTCCTTGAGCAGACGTGTTCTTACAGGAAGATGTAACGTCAGCAAAATGATATTGTTTGACCAAAATTTTGTGAAAATTGTCACTTGTGAAAATAAAGTCATTTCTATATGAGCCTGAGCATGGGCTTCTGTATGAGCCTACCATAAGACCATTTCTTTCAAAACGTTAGCCCAGCTGTGAAATAGGTTGGACAATAAGAAGATGCAACTGGGAGGTGCAGTTGGGCTTAAAGGTTAACCGTTTTGGGAACGGGGAGCATCCCCTTAGCACCGCATGCTGGCAGCTCAGCCTCTGATGAGAGGTCTTCCCAGCTCAAATCATTAACCGGGTGTTGGTCACAGGCATTAATGAACAACTCTTCTGGATTGATTTGCATTTTCTTCACTAAATCACTGTTATTTTAATAATGCCTGTTAGGGCTGGTGTGGATGCTGTCCCCAAAATGCATTTTGCTTGGGACATAGTCAATGTTAATCACCTTTCCAAAGAGGGAAGGTGCTGCAGCCTTGGGTGGGCTCTGTCCCCCCATGATGGAGATGGAGCTGGGGAGTGGGTGCACCCAGCAGTGGGGTGCAGGCGGGAGCAGGGGAGCAGCAGCATTAGAAAACCCAGCTGCTTGGTTGGAAATGGATGTTTTGATGCAGCTTCACCTTGTGGAAGCTCTTGACAGGTTTCAGAGTACCTGCTCCAAGTCTCTATTTGTCATCTGCTGAGTGGGTCTTCTGAGAAATGCAGCTTTCTCATGAGGATGGAGCCACTGCTTCGTTCACCGCTGCAGGCTCTGGATTTTGCAATGCTCGTGAGAAGGACCACATATGGAGGCCGTTACGAAACTCCTGCAGCCTGCTTCCAATCAAGCAGACCCTGCATTTCTAGTTAATGATGATGAACTGTAATGTCGCTCTTCGTTCCCAAACTGGTCTTCTCTGTCTCTCCCATTTCTCCTTGAGCAGTCACCCCCCACCCCAGTTTCCTGAGAGTTTGGGGCTTTGGTTTCAACAGTACTAACGCATCCTTTTACTCTCCCTCCTCACTTGACAGAAATTAAAGTTCCACTTGCCGAGACATCGAGAAGTTCGAGACGTGCACCAGCGATGCAACTGCCCGGCAGGTAGGGAACTGAGATGGCTGGCGCCTTGTGAGGACTGATGACTCTTTTTTTTTTTTTTTTTAACGTGTCCCTTGTTGAAAGGTTTTAATGCTCTGTGGCAGATTGAATACAAAGTTATGCTTTCTACAGTATGCTCGAGGTATAGAAAATCAATCTGGATATGTGCATAACCGGTTGGGTGCATATATAAATACTAACTCTGTATACGATAGAAACAGCAGGAAAACCGGTAGACATCCAGGTAGTCATCCTGGACGGTCAATGAGAGAGAGGGAGGGAGGGAGATCCAGAGGGTGAATCCTCCATTTGCTTTAGGGATCAACCTTGAGATGGGCAGAATGGCTCTCGGGAGGTGCTGATCTTTCTCGACCGATTAGGGAATGGTTTTAGGCAGCTTGGCTTGACTCAGCACTGGAGATAGATGGTTAAACTTTGGTGAGATGAACTGCAAGCCAAAAGTGCTCTTCTGCCATCTATTTGTGTGCCTCTGGGGCAAGGAGATTTGAATTCCTCGGTGCTATACAACTGTCTGAAGCATCTTGCAGGATAGCAGCTGTCTGTTAGAAGTGGCCTTATATATCAGAGGGGGGTTGAATGCAGTGGTCACTCAAGGTCCTACTCGTATAACATACAGAAATGTTATGGGGTTGCTTAATTGCATTATGTTTTTAATCATGCTAATATGAAAAGGCTCTTTGAGACACATCTTCTGAAGTGGTTTTTGATACAGTAAGTGACAAACTGCTACGGAAAAAAACATTTGTCAATGGTATTTCATTCCATGACTGTGAATCATGTAGTCTTCCTCATTGTCTTTTGATGCATTTGACCATGTAAAAGAAATAGTAAAGTGTCGGTTGCCGCTCACATCCAAAGTTGCTGAAGTTTTGGGAGAGTTCGGATGTGTGTATCCAAACTGGGTAGCTGAAGCATGAAAAGAAAGAGGCAGGGAAAGTGGTGTCTGGATGAGCGTCTAAAAGCAGCGTTTCTGTTTTCTGTGGCTTTTCTCTTGGGTCCGTGTTCTCTTGGTGCCCGACGTGAGTCCTGTAGCTGGGTCTAGTGGTGTGTGTGTATGAAGGTGTAATTAAGTATGGTCAACGGAGGAACAGAGGTAGATGAAATGACCAAGCAGCGTGTCGTTGCTATAGGTAATGTTTTCCCACGCTCTGCATAATTAGGCCTAGGTACAGAGAGAAGAGACAGGCTCTTTTTACGCTCCAGTGGGGTTTGTAAGATAGCATGTGAAAACAAGAGGTAAAACCCTACAGGTATGTGAAAGAACTAAAACCCAGGATCCAGACTTGCAGAACACTGAATAATGTCCGACTGGACTAGCGCAGACCAGGGCTGTTGGACTTTTTTTAGTCCCGCAGAGGAACAATAGGAACCGTTAAGGTTTAAATTTAGAAGTCAGCCCAAAAGAAATGTTGTCTAAGTAACCTTTCTCCAAAGATGAGATCAAAACTGAGTTCAACTATTTTTAAGTTTCAACCTTTTCCCTTCAATTGGAACACAAATCATAGCACTACTCCATTTTCGAGTTCCTGCCTAGACTTGACATCTAAATGCCAAAAAACCACAGGAATGAATATCCTCCTGGTGTTTCTGAGTCAGCTTGGAGAAGGAAACTTAGAACTGGAACGTAGAGCAGGGGAAACCAGAGATTTGCTGATTTTTAAAGCTGTCGGAGCGTGACATCCTGCATCACGTGCGTGATAGATGAATCACCTGAGCATAACAGCATCAAGATCATGATACTTGCGTGCAGATACTCCCATCCCTTGTGAAGCCATAGCAGTAGCCAGTGCTGAGCTTCTCATAGGTGAGATGTCGGTGCCCTCTCATTCCACGGAGCTTATGGTATTTCTGAGGGACAGCTCTGATGGCGGGAGAACGACGAATGTCTCACGAAGGTGAGGCTCGAGCCTCCTCGCTGCCTGTTGTGCTTGCCTATCTCCAGCAAATATTCTCCAGCCACAGAAGCTATTTACTAAATTTCCTGCCACTGCTGCCAGCTAGTCCTTGGAGGGTGAGGAAGCTATGGTCCAAAGCTGAAGCTGTGGTAGGTGAAGTCTCGATGGGCTTTGAGCAGTGCAGAAATGAAGCCACCTGCAGCTAGCTCTTTCATCTCAGCCCGGTTGCTGCAGGGTATTTCCCGTTGCTCTTGGGGCTAATGAAACGCAAGCTACCCGAACGCGCTGTGGTGCCGTTTCAGCATGGTCTGCCATCCAGCTGGAGGCTTTGGGAACAGTTTTCCCCGGTGCATTTTTTTCCCCTCGTGTCTAAAATGCCTGAGGACCAGACGAGGCGACCCTTGTGGGAGCCGGAGTTATTCGGAAGCGCTGAGAACGGTCAAGATGTTGCAAGACTTGGCGCATGCCCGTTGCTCCTCACCGGCCCTCTCCATCGCCGATAAACAAGCACATGTAACGCTCCTCACCAGAAATAAATGTTTATCAGAAGTGACATTTGAGCACATCCCTAATCTGGAGCCAGCTCTCCGCATGGCAGAGAAGGGGAAGAGGAAGACAAGTTCATTTGCTGACCCGTTCCCTGCGGATGCAGAGGTCCCTGGCAGGGTCACCCGTCGCTATAGGAAGGCTTCGGGTCGCCAGGGGCCTCGTTTGCAAACGTAAATGGTTGGAAAAAGCCGGGAAGAGGGGAGCAAGAAGGCTGTCTAAGTGTGCGACCGTGCCACGGCTATCTGAGCGCTCACGATAAGGACAGCAGGAACAGCGCGGCCAGGAAAGCAGCACAGCTGTATTTATAGCACACGATAAGGAAATCTCTGTTTCCTTGACCGGGGGGGAGCTGGTACGTCGGCTCGCTCGTGCTGGGGCTGGGCGCGCGCGACCT